TGAAGGAAAACGCAGGTAGGGCCAGTCTGGGGCCATTTCAGGAAGTTCGCCCGTGATTGTTACATTTCACTTTTCAAATACGTCCATTGGCTTAGAGGTAAAGAGAGAGAGAGAGAGAGAGAGAAGGCTGCTTCGTCTGCGTCAGTCCTGGCTTAGTGCAGTGTAGTGGGGCGGGGGGGCATATAAAAGCGCATGATCTGGCTTTGGATGCTTAGGTTGTAAAACCAAGGCAAATTATTACTTCACGTCTCTGTGCCTCAGTTTTGTAACTCTGGGCCACATTTGGAACTTAGGGTTCTTCGGGTGGTATTTCATAGGGTTGTGAGGATGAAATGGGTAAACGTTCATAAAGCATGAAGAACGGTGCTTGGCCCTAGCTGGTCTGGCTCAGTGGTTAGAGAGCCGGTCTGCAGACCAAAGGGTCCCAGTTCCATTTCAGTAAAGGGCACATACCTCATTTGCAGGCTCCTCCCCTGGCTCCTCCCCGCCAGGGCCCTGGTCCGGACGCTTGCTCCATGTGTTTCTTTCACATCAATATTTCTCTCGGTCTTTCCCTCTCTCTTCCACTCTCCAAAAATCAATGGAAAAATATCCTCAGGTGAGGATTTAAAAAAACATGGTGCTTGACACATCAGTCCTCAATACATGTCAGCTGTGACGATTTTTAAACAACCACGGTGAAGTTTGTTCACCAAATCAGAAACCCAGTCCTGGCCTTTGCCCGGCAATTTCAGGATCGGCTTGTAATTGCACCAGGCCTCATACGAAAGGATCACTGCTTCTTCCTTGGTTTCTGAATTTCAAGTATTCACTCAATAATTATTGAGTCACACACTATGGGAATAAGGGAGAAGAAAGACAGAATCTCTGTAGCTATAAAGCTCACAGTCTGGTGGGAAGACAGACCAGTTAAAAAAAAAATTACTCTGTGTTAAATGCCATAAAAGAGTAGTGTGCATGGTGGTACAAAAGAAGGTCACAGGTCATGACAGGTAACTTCTTGGTCCTCCAAATTATGATGAATCTTTGTGAATTTTTGTGACCATATTCCTGGGACAGTAAAGAGTCAAATTCCACCCAAAAAAAAGTTATTGTCAAATGGTTAATTTCTAGATTAATTATTTTACAATGCTAATATTTTCTGAGTCTGCACCATCACCTTGAT